AGGTTCTACCTGGTGAGGTACAGTATGTAGTACAAAGGAGGCTGATTCAAGATGGTAAGGAGTGCTGCCTTGGAACTGAAAGCGGCGTTTTCCCAGCCAAAAATAGCACTCAAGGTACCTGTACCTACCTAATGGTACCACTAGTACAAGGAAGACTCCACGGCGAAGCCACCAATGACATCCCTGCCACGTATACCTGACTTTGTTGAGCAGACCTGTACGTGTTAATTGATCATTTCCAGCTGTTTCAGCGTGCCTGCCGCGTAAGTGCTTGACTGAGGTGATTGGGTGAAGCCTCATACTTTGGCTTCTGTCACAGACAGGTCAGGCACTCTGCACGAGAGTGCCTTCCAAATCCCAGGCACAGACGGGGTAGGTACCTAGCCTATAAAGTACCGGTACCGGATTACACTTGCCGGTCTGCACACATTTTAGATACCGGACAAGGTACCTGGGTACGCACGCAGGACGTCGGTCATGCCTGCCCCAGCCAACTAACTTCTACTGCCACCTCACTCAGCTTGATGCAATACGTACATGTTACTAACCTGTCCAGATTGGGAGTAATACTTCGCACACTCTTTCTCTTCCAACTTTGCCCATTTGTACAACCTCATCCGACGCCCACTGCCTTCGACCTGCACCGCCGCCTTGGACAAAACAGGCCACTGCGGTTGAAAGGAATCAAAATCAGGCGAGCTGACCTCGAGCGCCATCAGCGCCTCCAGGGAACCCGTCCGGGGCTGCCGACGAATTGGCGGTCAACTACAGCTCTCGTTTGCCTTGATGGACCGTGGCCAGAACACCAAACTCTCGAGGCACGACATACGTTGACGGTGGTGCGTGAAACTCCAGCAGATGCTTCTGCGCGCTCAACTGCGCACCTTCTTCGAGCAACTCGTATGAGCATCAAGTACGAATATGCAAGAGGCGTGGAGGCGTGGAGGCGTGGAGGCATCCGCATACATAGGCGCCATCTTGCCCCAAAGTGTGTGTGTGCGTGTGTGTTTGTGCGTGTGTGAGCTGGCCCTCAGAAGCCGTTGCCAAGGGTCAGGGCGCCATCGTTCGTTCGACGGACTGCGAACCATGATCGCCCAGTGCAAAGCCGCATGAGATTGGTCACCTCCTCGATCCTGTTCGTACGCCCCTCGTGGCCCTCTGCTTGCTCAGGCTCTGTTTCGCCGGCGGTCTGCACCTCTCAGCTGCACCGTCATCCGGGCCACTTCAGATATTGAATCATGGCGCCGCTTGCTTCCTCAACTCCCCCATGTCTCTTATATTTCCGGTCCACCACACCTCTTTTGTGACCCTATTTCGAACTGCTACTGGACCACGACCACAACAACCTCCGAAGAGGCGCATCGCTTGAACGCGACCAAACATATCTAGGACTCGAGACGAGCTTTTACGAAGCAGACAAAAGATCTGCGGTGAACAGAATCAGCCACTTCCCTCTGCCATTTCTCAACGGCCATGCCGAAGTGCAGCCTGCGCACTCCACGCTTCTGCACAGGAAAACACGCAGCTCCCCCCACGGGCAGAGCATGTCTGGGGTTGTCTTCCCAACAGCAATCCCACACGCCACAACGCAATTGCAGCCTACACCAACCGCGCAATGCTTATTGTCCGGGCCTATTGCACACAGCAACAGGAGCATGTACGACTGGGGGTTGCTTTGAAGAGGTTGATTGTACTGTTAGGGGTTGTCCAAGTACCGAACACTACCTTGTCCGTCAACCAGTGTTGATGCCTGAACAAACCAGCGAGAACCGAAAACCACCGGCATTCTCCCCTAGGCAGATCCGCTTTCGCTACCTACGGACCGTATCACATCACTCCATTTCTCAAGGGTTAATGGTGCAGGGGACGGCTACCTACCTACTGGTAAACGGTGCCTACCTTACCATAAACGCAACGACTGCTAACGGAGCCCGTACTTAGAAGTTCCTACGGACAGGGTGTTAAGCAGAGACAGGGCAGACAAGGATATGGGTTGCCAGAGTCATTTAACTCCCCGCGAGCGTCCTTGCCAGTAGCCCGTGCAACAGACTCCTCCCAGCAAGCATCACGAGTACTCCGTACTCCGTAGCTCACTCCGAACATGGCCCCCCGCGGTCCTTTCCGGAGGCGCCATCACTAACTACTTCAAGGTAGGTATTGTGATCGTGGTCCGTTTTACAGTTTCAAACAGGTGCTGCGCGCAGTAATACTAGCACCCCAGGTATGCAGTGTATTAATGTGGCACAAATGAGGATGAGCTGACTCCCTGCTGCCGAGATACTAGAACAGGGTGACTATGGTTGTTCTCCCGTAGGCACCGTGATGTCCACGTTATCAATCCATAAGGTAGGTAGGCTTGACCAAGCCCGTACAGTTCTCTTCGTCACATACCTTATGTTTGGCTCAGGATGGCAGCCCCAAGCATCCTTCACAGACGGACTACGTACAATCACGAATGAGTTGAACCCACAGGCAGCTTTGTTGGCTCGGCAGAGTGCCCCCCAGAATCATCCCTGTCAGACGACGTCGTTCCAGGAGCCGTTCCCCGGCCTGGGCATCATATCTCACATCTGTCTGTCTGTCATCGCGGGACGTGCATCAGGTTTTGCCCGTTACCAATCGCGTGGAGCGAGTCCGGAACCACCATTTCGATTACCCTACCGACGAGCCCACCAACCAGATTCAATCTCAACTTCCACATGCAGAGAGCGTTCTGCTTTGCACATGACAGCGCAACCAGAGGAGAAGTACTGACTCCACGTCTGCTGCTAGACAAGCGGGTCTATAGAGAGCAGCTGCGACAGCTACTACCTAATATAACATGCTGCTGCGGCTGCTGGCACTCGTCGACTTTCTCCTCTTTTTACGCCTTCTTCCCCCCCTCCTCCCCGACGTACCACACGCAGGCCGTCCTCGTTCCGAGCAATTAAAGGCTGTGACGTGGCGGCGGTGAGCCTTTGGGTCAGGCGCCATGATGCCCCCAAAGGACGGGGGTGATCACCGAAGCTTGGAAGAGGAGGTTGAGGTGATACATTGCTAGGGTAGCATTGCCTCTTCATGCTTGGCCGGGGTCATCCCACCAACTCCGGGGGGGGCTGCTCCATCTCAAGTGGCCTACGAAGCGATTCAGCGGCCCTGCAAGGACAAGATGTCGTCTATCAATTTGATGGGCATATCTCGTGGCCAGTCAATGGCATCCAGGCAATTATGCATTGATGGAACGGCTCCCAACCTTGGCACAAGTGATTGGGGCACGTCCTCCATCCTCTCGCACTGCATAGGACGTCTCAAGGCCTTGGCTTCTGTTACTTCCCTTGGGAGAAGCAGAGCAGATGGCTGTCAATTATACTTGTCGTGAGTTGTCACTTCCCTAGAAAGTAACGTGCTGCACCACTGCCTTGGTTCTGTTGACGGAGCACGCTCCGATCTAGATGTCGACAGGGCTGCCGTCTGTTGTGTGACAGGAGAATTTTGGCACACCAATGGACTGAGCTGTATCGGTTGGGCTGGACCAATGAGCCAAAGGTCACACTCAGGCTGCTTACAAGCAGGTATGCGAACTCGACGTGGTTGCTCGATCTCGTCACCGCCCCCAAATCAGAAATCTCTCGTCACAAAAGACTACATCATACCAGTTCCTGTGACGCTGACACTTCCAGGGTATCTGGAGATGATCCCATCACTCGGTACGAAGCACTTGGCACTGACTAGCACGAAGTGTTTCGAATGTATTTTACCCTATTTCCTTCTTCCATTTACTTGCTTGCTGATAGCGTCCGATTTAGCAGCGATGTTGAAATGCTTCGTGGTAACAGTCCCGGCTTACCCTGTCAACAGGCAGGGCAGTCTGATGAATTTGACGGTGTGTTACTGCTGCTACCACGTCGATGACTCGGTATACCCGCTCTTGTACGTACTTGATGCTCTGCACATGCATCCCAGATAGTGCAGAATGCAGAGGACAGACGACAGAGTAGTATCGAGGTGCATCGATTCGGCCTAGTACTTGGGCACTCAGATCCTATCTATCCCAACCTGCGACCTGGTCTCGCACTCAAACGCGCCCACCCTGCCAACGCTCGGATGCAAACACAGGCCATCCAGGCCAATCTGGTCATTTATGACACGGCCAGCGTGGTATCGTATATAGCCGTCGGCGGATACCCCGAGGCGGGTGATACAACCGGAAGAGCAAGGGTCTCGGAGTCGTGTCCTGTTTGCTTGCCACCGGCCATGTGGGTAAGGGTTCTGCAGGGCCCCGAGCGATGCCCAAGTCCGGAGCCGGGCTTTGGATGCTTCTACAAGCATCGACGAAAAGCGCCACTACGTCTGAGTATGCTGAAGGGAGTGTGTGAATGGGCTTGAGTTGGGATGGGACAGGGCTGTTGTCTCCCTCGATCAAGCTTTCCTTTCTTTCTATCTATGTATTGCTGCTGTAGTACAGTAAATGTGCCGATATCTTGTTGTAGAGTGCAGCAAAAAATGAATGACTGCCTGGTGTACATGTAGTTTGGAGGCATCGCCGTCTACGGAATACCTATCCGAGCCCAAGGCAGACGTGAAGAAGGCCAATCGCTGACAGCTGTCCCAACCAACCAGAGAAGACACCCTAGGCCCACATTAACGCGATTGAGTGCTCTGAAAAACACGGTGAGGCATCAATTTGAGAGATTCGTGCCTCGATGAGGGCGTAGGCATTGCAAGCAGCCAAGGTAGAATTCAGTTGATCCATCACAATCACGAAGCTTACCAAGGGCATCATCAAACTGCTGAGGCGTCAATGATGCCGCAAGCTGTGGCTTGTCTGTGGCGCGAGAGGTCTTGGCACGGAAAGTGTGTACTTCGTTGATGCCTTCCATTGTTGGTAATTGGCCGAATTTGAATGCCTGAAATAATCGGCCATATAATCTGGCACGCAAGTGGAAGCTGTGCCTCTTTCTTTTTCCTCGTGACTCGCCATCAGCTTTGTCCCTTCAACAACTCATCAACGCATCGTGTCGCTGTTCAGAAGCCTCGTTTGTCACTGAGCCACTAGCGACGAAATTCTCCATTCTGTGCTTTGGATATTCCAGGGGCCAAACCCCGCTAGTTTGTCAGGGGAGACGGTGGAAAACTGCCGTTCCTTGGGCCTCCTAAAAGAACTCGAGACCAGCCACCATCACAACAGCTTTGTTTGAGCGACACAACAACACACACCAAATCTGGGCAAAACGGTCCCCTTGCTGAGACAGCCAAGAGGAGAACTACGTACACTCTCACACCACTCGAAACGAACACCATGGCGGACGTGCCTCTGCTGGTCATCTCGGAGTACGCTGCTTCCGAGCGTCGCATCACGCCGTCGTGGACAATCTTTCAGCTCAAGAGCAAGCTCGAGCCCGTCACGGGCATCCCTCCTTCGTGCCAGAAGCTCAGTCTCAAGCAATCGTCCGGGGCGGAAAAGATCCCCGTCGAGGCAGCGGACGAGGATGCCGTCCGCCTGTCCAGCTTTCCCCTGGCTCCGTATGCAGAGCTGCATGTAAGTCAGCCGTTTTCGATCTCATTAGCCGCCGAGCGCTTTTTCTGGCCAGGGATGAGGCGTTTTGACTTCATGCCGTGCTGGGCAGCGCGATTCGTCGCGGGTTTTGTCTCATCCCTCCGTTTCTGTTTTCTTCTTCTCCTCAGCCTCTGCTTCATCTCCCCTTCTCTACTCTCTACACACACGTGGGGGGGGAGGAGGGAAGGGGAGGGGGAAGGGTTGCTTTGCAATCAACTCAGCGCCTGAAAGGGAACGGCATGAGATCCCAAAGCGGGCCTCTCGTGGAGTGGCTTTGGGCAGCCAAACGCCCTCTCTTCTGGACCCTGCTGTCCATGATGGAGCGGCCTTCATGCAGCATTCGCTGGGGATGCAGACGGCAGAGAAGAGGGGGGGCGCCGCCTGGATGGAGACGAAGCTAACGCGCCATGTTTTCCGTAGGTCATTGACACCCGCCCACCAACAGCCAGACCCAACTTCACCGATACTTCAGGCGTGGACAAGTATGTGATGCCCGATGAGGAGTACGAGAAGAAGACGGACTCTGTCCTAGCCTGGAAGAAGACGGAGAAACTTGGTCGATTTGACCCTACAGCGCCAAGCCGCGAGGAGGCCAGGATCAGGGCTCTCAAGGAGGAAATAGCCCAGCGTGGCATCGAGGTAGGGAAGAGATGCCGCGTCGGTGGAGAGGACACTCGGCGAGGTGAGGTCAAGTACGTTGGTGACGTTGAGGAGATTCCTAATGGCGCTGGGCCGTGGGTGGGGGTTCATCTGGACGAGCCTGTGGGGAAGAATGACGGTAGCATCGCGGGCAAGCGTTACTGGGGAGAGCCCTCTGAGCTAAAGCACGGCGTCTTTGTGAGGCCGGACAGGGTTGAAATTGGGGATTTCCCGGCCCTGGACGACTTGGAAGATATGGAAGAGATCTAAAGATAATTGCCTGGAACAACCAGCACAGCGGATCCAGCGTCTCGAAAACAAGACTCATGTATTACGTTTTGACCAGCTTCACACATGGGACGAAAACGACCGCCAACCAAGATGGGGGGGAGTTACGGGTATGAGGCATGCGCCCGTCCTGTCAAGTGGCATGCAGGGCTGACGACGAAACACGTATCGCATCAGGCCGGAGTGAACGCTGTTCTAGAAACATGGGCCATGCCAAAGAGGCTCTTGATTCCGACGTGGACCTGGGCGCACTAATGCGGAGGATGAGGGCCCCCTTCTCTAATCAGATGCTGCCACGGAACTCATCAGTCTCCATATATGCGCCTACATGTGCAGAGCCCCATGGCTTTCGTGGTGGCTATATTTATATGTATTGCATGCAAGGGAGGCGCGACTGATATCATAGCGATGCGTATCGAAACTTGCAGATCATGCGAACACGGAACAGGCACGACGACTGCCCGATGAGCGCCAAACGGTAAGCTATTCGGAGGGAAGTTTGCAAGCAGCGTCTTCTCCTCTTCCTGTTGCGCATCTCATCCCCAGCGGCTGCGGAGCGTTTAGTCTCTATCTTGAGCCCATGCGCCCTGATCTTCTACAATGCCATGACTATCCTTTTCCTTCAGAGGAGATTACGGAAGAAAACCCGGGAAGAAAGGAGAGACGAGGTGGGCGTTGGTGTGAGCATGCAGCTAGGCTCATGCAAGTCCAAGCTGGGAGCACCCGTCTAGGTATCATCGACCTCGCAGTCGGCCTTGTTCAGCATGAGGCACCATGTCTTGAACCTGGTCCTGCAACGGACAGGTGCTATTGAGACAAGCAAGACGGGTGAGACCAAGATGCCGCTGCATTACAAGTGATTACATCGGATGCCAAGGAGCCAACGCTGGCACCAGGCTGCAACTTACATGAAGGGCGGCGACGATCCCGCACTCTTTCTGGCCTTGTCGTTCTCGTTTGCTGTTTATTGGGAGCTGAAGTGAACATACGATTAGCCGGGGCATCGGAGACCTTTCTCCAGGGCAGCCACGGAGCTGAAGCCCTTCCCAACGGTTTGCACCTTGTACGACGCGAGACCCACGATAGTGCCGTACCCAGCGCTCGCAAGAGGTTGCCAACTCTCGAGGGCCAGCACAGGGGTTCCCTTCTGGTGCTTTGCCTTTGTCCAGTGGTAAGCAGTGAGCCAGGAATCACTCCGAGGAGGATTCAGGCTCAGCCCCATAGACTGACGCTGCTAGTTTCGCTCTGTTCAAGCGCCGCAGACGACGCGGAATGAGCGAGTAAGCAGGTGTTCCCATTCGATACTTTACGGATGCTGATCAATGCTGCAGTTGGAGCAAACATCATGCCATGAGCAGCAGCAGCAGCATCATCACAAGATCCGAGTGCGTGGACGAATCGTCTTCGAGAAGCGCTTGTTTGTTGGCAATGTGTAGGAAAAAAACGCCACTCGACAGGGCCTCGGTCACCGGCCTGGCCGTCGGCCATGGGTTGATAGGTGAGGCGCCTGTTTGTCATGATACAAGCTCCGGATAGGATTTGCGCTCTGCATCTCGCCATCTACTACCAACCTCGTTATTTTGTCTGGACTCTTCTGGAACAGGAGCACGGCCAATGAGCAGGCGGGGGGCTTACTGGCCCGTTTCCATGACGGGAGGGAGCCAGTGTGTCTTTCTACTGTGGGATGTTACGATGGCATCTTCCACGGGTTTTTGTTGCTCGTGTGAGGGCACATTGCCAAGTTCACCAGGATACTACCGTGGACTGTGTCCCTACCTTGGCAGTGAGTTGTGGCCCTGCCAAGAGCCGCTCTTGGGCCCTGACTTTGCAGTCCTTGATAGATGAGAGCATCCTGGCAATGATTTGCCTTGGATTCAATGCCATGTGCCCACCTTGCCCACCCACGCAGGGTGTGGTGGTTATGGTACTATACGAAGAAGATGGTGTGCTTTCGTTACTGGCGATTGAGGTCGTTGCTTCTAGATACACACAAGCCTTGACTTGAGGAGACAAAAGAGAACGTCTAGTTGTTTTCTAATTTCCGGCAATGCAACGCTATTGTAGCAGGTGGAGAGAAGTGTCCCATATTGTCAGCTAGTAGGTACCTATCGTGAAGGTTCAATGATACTCCCGGAGTGACTTGATTGTTTAGCTCGATGAGGAACAAGAGTCTTCCGAGATTCATACAAGCAATACTAAGTACCATTGCCGTACCTAAGCTACAAACTCAAAACTAAAGCTTCCATTAAATGGTTTCAATGCCTTTACATCCAGCAGCCATATTTGTAAGCACTGCTACGGAGGACGATCGTTCTGCGACAGAGGATTGAGAGATTAGGTGTGCAAAGAGGATCCCAAGTATGTCTATAGACAAGTTCTTTTTGTTCATTTTGACTGTAGAGGCCGCTGGAGTTGCTCCGAATCCGTCAACTTACATGGAGCGCGGTTCTCTTCAGGTTACATCTAGCTTCTACCCTCTTCACAGCAGTGGCAAAGGGAAATCACAAACAGAGATGCGCAGTCTTTCATGTTTTGGTTGTCCATTGATCTCCATCATCTTCTCGCAATGAATCATCCGTATTTTCATCTTCGATTGCTCATTCATTCCAAGTCGGTTGTATCAGTTGCGCTCGGTGAATTGGCAGAGGCTGACCAATGAGAAGCCGCCAAAAACACCGGCACGGTGTCGAATTCGCCGCTTTCCGAGCTTCAACTCTGAGTTGAGCGGAAGGAGCTGAAGCTCTTCGTCATCGGCTGCTGGTGATTTTCATGTGAATTCGTCATCAACAGGTTCAGCCTTGTGATTTCTCGAGGATATGCTTATTTCATGTTCTCCCAAGCGGAATTGCAACTCTATGCGTGTAGCCAGAAAACACCAAGTGCCACAATCACGGTCCCGCACGAGTCATCACCATGGACTCAGTATCCCAGCAACTACAGCAGCAGCAACAGCAATTACAACACACTCCTACAGCTCCTCCTCCTCCTCCTTCTCACCCTCCAAACATGCCCGAAAAGAAACGTCGTCGCCCGCCGCTCTCGTGCGAGCAATGCAGAAGACGAAAAGTCCGCTGCGACCGCACGCAGCCGTGCAACAAGTGCGTCGAGTCAAACGCCCCGAGCTGCACGTATGCGCCGGTTCACATTCCGGCGTGGCGAGCCAAAAAGCTGGATATTGCCACAAAGGCCAGCAATGGCGGTGTCACCAATGCCAGCGGAAGCGGTGATCCAGCTGCTGCAGACGGAGGATCGGCGAGATCCCAGAAGCTGTTGAGGAACCTCAAGGCAGCTGAACCAAGACCCGGGACATTCGACAGCAGCATCTCGCACTCGGATCTCCCTCCCAGAACCAGCATCGACTCTACCAGCGCATCTTCCAAACTCGTCTCCTCCAACCCTGGATCGTTATCAAGCTCCTCTTCGCCCAACGTCGACTGGCTCGTAGCCCGGGTTCAGCAGCTCGAGGAGAAGCTTGCCAAAGCCCTGCGCATCAACGACGCCCCAGACGGGCAAAAGCGACTCCAGTCTACTCCAGAGACGGCAGAGCCAGCAGAGGGATTCGTGTCCAAGTCGCGGTATTTCGGGCACAGTCACTGGTTGTACGGGGTCAACATTGTAAATCCCGTCTCTAACTTCTTCGTGTTCACATCAGCGGAATGTGATACTAATCCGGACCTCACCCAGCTTTCTGTTGAGCGAGATCTTGTTGGCCCAGAGAAAGTGAAGCAGGGCGAGTTATGGACCACCCTCGGCAGATGCAAAGCCCTCGGCCGCAAGATCAAGAAGAACCGCCTCAAGCCTCTCTCCTCTACCAATTTAGGGGCGCAAATCCCCGAACGTGAGCTGGCGGATGTGCTGGTCGAAAACTATCTTCGCACCTTTGAAGGCGTCTTCCGCGTCGTGCACATCCCGACGTTCCGGGCTGAGTATGAAAGGTTCTGGGAGAGAAGCCACCGGTCCAACGAGTCCTTTGCGATTCTGCTCCAGCTCGTCATGGCTCTTGGAGCGGCGCTGTATGACGACGTCTTCTCACTGAGGCCCATGGCGACGCAGTGGATCTTTGAAGCCCAAATGTGGCTCATGATGCCGCCGGAGAAGAAGAGAATGAACTTTGAAGGCATCCAGATACAGTGTCTCCTGCTTCTCGCCAAATCGACGTGCAACGTGGGCGGAGACATGGTCTGGATGATGGCCGGCAACCTGGTGAGGAACGCCATGTTCGTGGGCCTCCACCGTGATCCGCAATATCTGGGGGATCTGACGGTATATCGAGCCGAGATGCGGCGGCGTCTGTGGGCGACTGTGTTGGAGCTGAATCTGCAGTTCTCCTTTGAAGGCGGTGGCTCGCCACTGCTCTCTGCGGCACATTACGATACTCTTCCTCCTGCCAATCTCAATGACGATGAGCTCACGGATGAAATGGACGGCGCCAGATCAACGGCCAAGAGCCCAAAGGTGCCAACACAAACCTCGATCCTCAGGGCTCTAGTGGCCACAATCCCCCTGCGCATGAACCTCATCACGCACGTCAATAGCACGAAACCAGGCGACCATTACGAAGAGACGCTGCGACTGAATTCGGACCTGACAAAATCGTGTCGTTCCATTTCCGAAGCTTTACTCTCTCTCCAGGCTGTACCGAACTCTCCAATCACACCGTTCCATGTCCTGGTGACAGAGATTCTCCTCTACCGCTGCTTCCACGCCCTTCACCAGCCCGTCATTGTCAAGCATTTAGACGACGCCAGGTTCTACTTCTCCCGCCAGATGTGTCTCGACAGCGCAATGAAAATCACCCACATCTGGGGCCTCCCCGAGGCCTGGTCCGGAGACAAGGAGACAGCCAGCAAAGCCATGGATGCCGACCTCAAGCGGCTCGTCACCAACGGCACCGGCATTTTCCGCAACGTCGCGACGCAGGCCATGATCATCCTTCAGATCGAGCTGCTCAACGCCAAAGCCGGGCAGGCCACCAGCCTGGGCTACCTCCCGACCGTCGGCAGCGCCAATCTGCACGCTCGCCTAGACGCTACGCGGACGTGGTCGCTCGAGCGAGTGCGCGCGGGGGAGACCAACATCAAGGGCATCATTCTCATGACGGCGTGCCTCGCGCACGTCAGGGCACTGGAGCAGGGCGTCGACGCCAAGCAGAAGACGCGCATGATGTTTGAGGCGGCCTCGGAAATTAGCCAGCGGTGTCTGGAGATTCTCAAGGAGGTGGCCGAGCGGGAGGGTCTGCCGAGGAGCGAGTGGGAGGACGATGGGGCGGCCATCCTGGACGATGCTTCGGTGTCGAGCATGGCGATGGACTGGATGCAGGATTGGAACTGGGATGACGGGCAGGGGATCTCATTTCCGCAGTGGGAGGCTGATTTCGAGGGAGACGAGGTGGTGGTGGATGACTTGGGGTTTGATGTTGGGGAGTTTTGATTGCCATTGGTTGGATGATATACTGAAAGACACTCGCTTTTGGTCTTGCATGCGGAGAGGCAAGACACTATCTCTCCTTCTACTTGAAAAGAGTTCATTCAACGTGATACAATGTCTCAGAACACTGACGTTGCGAGGCAGGCGGTACTCCAAGGATGAGGCAGCCGTGTTGCATCTGCTACGTCAAATTGTCTTGCTCTGCTCCTGCTCTCAATGCCGCCTTTTCCGGCTGCTGATGCTGGCTCTTCTGATCTTGAAGGAACAATTCCATACGTTGGCTATTCGGTAATTCACGATCTCAGGAGCAAGGTAATTCACGATCTCAGGAGCAAGGTAAACGACCGAGTCTCAGGTAAATCAAACAGTCATCGCCCTGCATAAGATCCCATTTCCCTCCCTATGTATTCAGCACATACTGACAAAAGCAATTAGATTCCCGTTTCCCTCAGCTTGCTCCCCAACTTTGACTCATTCAACAACACTTTCACCTTGACGGAAAAGAAAAAAAAAAAAAAAAGAAGAATGGCACCTCACACAGCCAAAGCCCTCCTCCTCACCCTCCTCCTCGCCCTCCAAAAAGCCACCGCCATCTCCCACGAAAACGCCCCGGAAACCATCATCAACAACAACAGCGGCTGCACAAGCACCATGACGCTCACGCAGTCCCGCCTCCCTACACCACCGTACTGGCCGCAGTGCTCCTGGGACGGCACCCTGAGCATCTACTCCTCCACCGTCACGGTCACTCGCTCGGTGGACTGTCGCGGCTGCGCGAATGTCCGCGTTACGGAAGCCCCCGTTGTTCATTGTCCGGCAAAAATCATTTCGACGAGGGTGCGCGTTGGGACGCCGTCAACGACGTATCGGACTGTTTGTTCGGTTACGCCTACTTTGTAGTCCTAAGGATATGGGGAGGCTGGTGGCTTTTTGAGGCGTGTGGATGGATTGAACTGGACATTGAAGGCATTGTGTTTATGTTTCCTGATACAAGGGAGGGAAGGGGGTGCAGATTGGGTTGATGAGGCTGGCTTGAGCTTGACTGGTCTCGAACTGGTTCTCTTATCAACGAGATTTCCCAACGCTTCCGATGGCCAGTGTCTCTTGATCGGGAGAGTTCGTATCGCTGCCTACTCTAGGGATTGACATGGCTGACGGTGGCACATGTGTATATCTACATGTAAATTTGGAGGCGCCCTTAGGACCCCCCTCTCGTCGTTTATAAACTCAGTAACAGTCTTCAATGCTTAACCTGAAGCCTCCTGAAACAGCCCTGATAAGGCAGCCATCTGCAGTAACGAGGCGGGTAGGGCTGACGCCACAGGAACTTGCGGATGCCTCCTCGGTCACGCGGCCAACGAGCATATTTTCTTCACGGATATTGACAGTTTGGCTCTCCTCTTGCGAGAGAATGAAGAAATGGAGCTCGATATCATGGCAAAGCCTTGATCATAGTACATCATCTCGAAACTGGACACTCCTCTGTATTGATCTTTCAAGAGAAGTATAGAGCGATATATAGTTGAAGCTTTGAGGTTGTAGGGGGGGTGAGAGGGAATCGAGAGGGAGAGGAGAGGGGGTTGAGCAGCTTCAAACTCTAACCGATGGCTTTTTGGCCTTCCCCTTTCCATGTATAGCTTCATGCGCTCTTTATGCTTATCGTCCTGTCGAGCCTTGCGAGGATGTGATCGGATCTGAAGAATCGTCGGGGTCACCGGAAAGGCCTAACGGTCCATATAAAATGATGTTCCCCTCCCCCCTTTTCCCTCTCTGCCCGCTCTCTCCCCTTCTCCATATCCATCTTCGTCTCTTCACGTCAGATTCTGCTGCGAATCCAGAGCAAAAACCCGGTCTTCCCTCCACCCCCCAGCTCCCAAGCAATCAAAGCTTGAAGAAGAAAAGAAGAAAACAGGACAACGAACAAACCAACAAACAAACAAACAAAAAATGAAGACCCCGACTGTCGGGCACGCCCTCGCCATGGGCCTTGCCGTCAGCTTCGCCGCGGCCAACCCCCTTTCTTTCCCTCTTCCTGCCGACAACGCCACTTGCACCACCACGAGCTGGGTTGATCTGGCACCTCCCGCGGCCGTCACTTCGCCCACTGCCGTGACGGTGACCAAGTACTCGACCGTCGTGTACCAGCACACGGCCGTCGACTGCGGCGGCTGCGGCCACCTCCAGGTCGCCACCCGCGTCCAGGACTCCCTGCCCCTTGAGACGGTCACCTCTGCAGGCGCGGCGACCATCACCCGCGGGTACTGCGCCGGCCAAGGCTTCTTCTTCCCCATGGAGACGGGTGCTCTCATGAGGCGCCACTTTGAAATGGTTGATCCGCTCGAGTACGATGCCAACGACGGCGACTCTGGCGTGCTCATCCAGGGCGATGACGACGACGAGGACTGCGTTGCTCGCGTCATGGAGGGCCCTCCCTACATTGACATGGGCGACACCAGCGTCGCCTTCGCCACCACCGTCACTCTCACCAGGACGGTCAATTGCGGCAGCTGCACCAAGGCGTCCCCTATTCCCATCCACGTCAGCCCGCCGCATCTGGGGACGTACAAGGCAACCATGACAATCGACGCGCCCTACAAAACGACGCAGCTCGTCTGCGGCAAGACGCTCCCCACGGACGCCGCCGAGGCCAACGAGAAGAAGAAGGGCAAGTCCAAGTCCAAGAAGCACAGCAAGACCAAGCCGCCCAAGAAGACCAAGCCCACGCCCAAGGTGACCGAGACCTGGCCGCCGCCGCTCGAGGTCCACACGGTCTACGGCAAGGGCAGGACGACGGCCGAGTGCTTCTACAACTATGCCCTCTACCCCGATCGCCTTGACCACACTCGCAAGATCTGGACGTCGACCTTCACGTCGGTGGCGCACAAGAAGTGCGATCACTGCGGCTTGATTTGGTTCACGGCCCCTTATGATCCGCCTGTCCCTGAGTCTGTCTTTACGACCACCGTCTTCAAGAAGGGACGCAAGACGGCGACGGCAATGGCTTGCTCTGATTAGGCGGTGTTGCTTCATGCAGGTGGTGTTGTGAGATACGGGGGCCCTTGCAGTTTTTCTTGATGGATGATAGCAGCGCGTTGGTTTTTGAAATGACGGAAAATTTTGGGTTTTTCTTGCGCACATTTTGTTGAAATAAAAGTTGTTCTTGCCATCATTGTATACCCTTGGGGTGCTTTTACTTATCGAACGAGATGTAGTCGTAGCAGTACTAGACCATAGTGGTAAATTTGAAGAAGGAAGAGTTGCCATGAAAGCGTTTGCCGTCTTCATCTCTGTCTCATCGTTGTGTCCCCATTCAGGCTGTTCTTCTCCGTCTTGACCGTTGCCGGCGGCGTGGCGCTCTTGGCCAACAGATTCCTCGTCACGTCGATGCGCCAGATGGCCGGGCCGCGTTCCTCGTCATGGCGTCTGTTAGACTCGACCCATGTGCGGATCTGGCCGCGGACTTCCTTGTTCGACGTGACGGTGATGTTGCCCGTGGCCCAGCCGTACATGTAGATGCTCAGCTTGGAGCTCTTGAAAGCGCCGCACTTGGCGACGTCGAGGGCAACCTGGGGCAGCCGTCCGTCTGCTACCGCCTGAGTCACCGTGTCCATCGTCCATGTCTCTTCCAGTATCTTGATGGGAAGTTGCAGATCATCAGGGAGCTCGTGAATGGAGAGCTGTGCGAAGCGTTTGCGAATCTCCTCGGTTGACATCTCGCGAGTGTCGACATCCCCAAAGGGCACCAAGAGCCTCCCGCGCTCCCTTTCCGTTGCGGTGCCGACGGTGCCGAGGACTTGGTGAAAGTGTTCTGCTGCTTCCTGCGTGCAGACGAGGGTACGGCCCTGCAGGATGGGATACAGCGCGCGGACCATGACGCCGCCGTGTTGTCTCTCTTCTTCGATCTGCAGCCGCGTTGTTTGGGCTTGCCATGGCTGGGGTTGCAGCTGGAGGTGGGTAATGTCTGAGATGAGGTCGACGAGGATGGTGTGGTCCATATTCAGGGTGTCTGTCAGGCCATCAAATTCGTTTCCGAGGAGGTTGTGTATGGCCTCTTGGAGGGGAGGGGGTGGTGTCTGCATGAACTCGCTACTGGCATCTTCGACAACGATATCGACTAAGGGGTCGATACGACAGAGTTGTTCTAAGAAGACATCCACATCTTCGTTTTCCCCCCTGCTGAGATTCGGAAAGACGATGCGTAGTCGAGGTATCCGATACTCGTGCCGGTTCATCTTGGCCGCAGCAACGAGCCTCTTTACCTGCTTGGCAAGAGGCGTGTCCTCCCACTCTTCTGGATCGACAACATCTCCAAGACTGTAGTCGCCCCATGCCCAGCCGCAGTCGGTCATTTGCCGTGCCAGCCTGTCCGCCTGAAGCCATCGAATGTCGAGCCACTCCCTCCCTCCCTGGACCACGTCGACTTCCACCTTGGCCTGCTCCTTGAGGGTCCTGTTCACCCGCTGCTTCTCCCTCCCATCGCCGGCAACTTGAGAGACCTGCTTCTTGCGGTCTTCCTTGGCCGACCCCTGAAAGGTCTGGTCAATGACGAGAAAGGAGCGGCAGCGCTTGAGTATGTCCCAGTGAACGGCTGCATGTTGTACAATGGTGGCACTAGCCACAAGCTTTCGGTTTAGCAGACTCAGTGCGTGTTCGTCTTGCTTTTCGTCCACGAGCTCGGATTCCACAAGTTTCAGGAGGTCGTGCTCTTTGCGGAGTTTGCGGATGAAAGCGGGCAGGCCGGTCACGCGGGGGCTCTTGACCTTTGCCTCGATGGCCTTGAGGAAAGTTTCAACCTCTGGGATGCAGGTCTCGCACGTAAGGATGTTCTTACGAGTGTCTTTCAACATCAACTGCTTGGTGGCAGCAAGGTCGTCGTCCTCTTGACTCTTGTGCTGGGGATGAGGCACTGCATCCTCGAGGGGTTCTAATCCCATGGTGATAAAGGCCAGTGAGTCCAAGTGTAGAGTCTATTCCCCGTTCATACTGTTCGAAGGCCGACGTCACGCCATTGTTGTGATCATTGCACCGCCTACCGACTCGGCCTCGCATGAAGGGTTCACGAGATGTCAAGTTGTGGGTGCCTAATTCATACTGTGCTACGGACTATCCTTTTGCCGGGACCGAGCCATCTGATTACAGGTCGTGCTTTCCTTGATGAAAGCTATGAATGCTTCAGAATGCTTGAACATGATAGATAAGAGGTATTCTAAAGGGTCAGCCGATGACATTGACAGGAGAATTCAGCAGCCACTCTTGTACGAGCAGTCAGAGTTGCTCAAAACCACTACGGTTCTGGCCTCCAAGGGCTTGTACACAAGACCGAATTCTTGAGCCAAGTTCAGGTATTACTAGTATGGTAATCAGGTCCACAGCCCAACAAAGACGGCATCACGGCCTTTTGATTCGGCCACCAAAAAGTGACGTGGTCCAGCATTTGTCTGCCTCCTGAGCATTGCATGTATGTGCATTGCATTATGCAGAGGTTTCAAGTAAATTCAACTCACTCACATAGTAATAGTAATAGAGCGTTCGTCATTCTTGAGTCACCATCAGTTACTGTGTATGTTTTCAGCTCCGTCAAACAAACTTTTCCTCCTGCAGCTGTGCCCATCCCTGCAACATGCGAGTTATTACATACCATAGTGCATGTACTCTTTCATCCACCACTTACACGACTTCTTCTCCCCCATCCATCTAAAAACATAGGTGGCCTCGCATCTTCATGCGTTTTGCCACTCGTTGACAATCATTCCCACGAACAATAATACCTCGTCTCCATATACCCCCCCACCACCATACTCAGCTTCCAAGGCACAAGCTGCAAGTACTGTAAATGATTGCAAACAAGAAATCTCTTCGTCCCTTGCATATTGTCCGATGTTACCCAAAGGTTGCGACCCAAACCAAGTACACTCCTCCAACAGGAACACAACCACCACCACCACCACCATCAAATGCTTATTCGTTCTAGTCTGTCCAAGTAATAGCATGTGCCATGACAAGTCAACCGCTTCAGAGCCAACCAAATCGCCTTTTCCACGTGGCTCACTGTGATGAAAAAGTCTGTGCCAACTCATCAATGACTCGAGCCGGCATCCGATCACTCCGCTGCAGCTCGCCTCGCCTCGCCTCGCCTCGCCTCGCCTCGTCTCGCCTTACTACTCTCATTCCTGTCCGTGTAGTAATATCATATGTCTCTTGCATCAAAAAAACATGTGGCATGCATGCTGCAGTGTGCACCTTGAACCACTCGGATCCTCATCCGCCTACACTCCCCATCCATGACAAACTCGTGTATGTAAAGTTGCGCAGAGAGAGGGGAAAAGGACTTGCTTCTGTTCCTGGCTAAACATCCGATGCAATCGGAAGCCTTGGATGGCAAGAAGTAAAAACAAAAAATTAAAAATCTGTAACCTGCATTAGCTCAAGGCAACGCTCGGAATGCTTGCAACCGGAGGAAGTCAGATCAGCGAATCATTGCACCAAATAACTTAGTAGTGATGCTGGCTTTTGGGCAAGACAACAACCGAATCCACGATACCAAACCGAAAAGAGTGAGCATCACCCGGCCCTACCAATTCGTCAAATAGAACAGAAAAAGAGAAAAAAAAGAAAACGTTCTCAGGACCACTTAGAATACCAGACTAGTAGACAGTTGTAGCAAAACAAAAAGCGAATAGACAGGACCGTTTGAGAGCATTGTCGTTCGCGAACAGCAGCTACGGAAAGTAAAACGCCATGGCGTTTGCTCTAGCCTGCTGTCACAAAAGTCGATGCACACAGACGGGAGATTCCGACAGCGCAAACGGCGAGTTGTGAAGCAGCAACCTTGCAAGTGATTGGATGGCTGTCTGACTTGGTGCAACGCCATACAACAGCCTTGCGCCATTGTTTCAAACAAACTCAATTTAAGCTCAGTCAATCACAAGAGACTACGTTATCACGGGAGCAAAACTGAGCAAAACGTCATCTTCTATAAGCTATAAGAGCAGTAAACACTTCAGATTATATATATATAAGAGAAACCGTAATATATATATAATAAATAAAAAGATAAGACGGATTTCAACGTATAACTTGCGTGCAGGTCCTTGTCCGTACGTCTCTTGTCATCGTTGGACAACCCGGGGGGAATCCGTAAAAAAAGCCACATAACCAAACACCGTAGATTTGTCAATTCTCCACGTCAGTAAAAAGAGTTTCCTCAAAGCCGAAAAGCATGCATCAAATCCCAGACCCATCATCCCAGCTGCCCTTTTTTTCCCTCTATAGACCCCGCGTTCTTCATCATCGTCTTTCCAGTGAAGATTCGCATTTCTAACCCTGGTAGTCAATGGTGACGATGATGGAGGTCTTGCCGGGGGCCAGGTTGAGGCCCAGGCCGTCGAGGGCCTCAGTGCCGGCAGTGAAGGCGTTGTCGCCCTTGCCGCCGGGGTAGATGGTAGAGCAGGTGCCCTTGGCAGCGCCGGTTCCGCAGACCTGGAGGCCGGGGATGGTCATGCCGGCAGCGGCGGCGACCAGGGAGGAGGCATCGGCACCGGACCATCCGCCGTTGGACATGTTGCCAAAGTCGGCCTCGACCCAGGTGGAGGCGAACTGGCCGATGGGGGTCAGCTCAGGGCCGCCAGCGCCGCAGGCGCAGCCGACCTGGGAGTTGGTGTCGACGGCGACGACCTGCTTGCCGCCGGCGGCGACGTCGAAGGTGATGGCCTGGTTGCCCTTGAAGAAGCCGTTGATGCCGCCGTCGGGGCCGATCTTGTTCCAGCAGAAGCAGGTCGTGTCGTCGCCGGCGTTCTCAAAGACCATGGTGTACTGGTACTCGTCGACCAGGCTCTCGTCGACGGTCATGATGTTGCAGCCGTAGGAGCCGCCGGCGCCGACGTTGCCCTTGTAGGCGATCTCGGCGGCCGTGGCGCGCTTGCTGTTGCCGCCGCAGAAGGGCTTGACGGTCGCGGGGGCCGAGGAGCTGGGGGCCGCAGCGGCGGTGGTAGAGGCGGCCGGGGCGGCGCTGGTGGTGGTGGGAGCAGCCTCGGCGGGCTTGTTGGCCATGACGAAGTCGCCGCGAGCCTCAACGGCAGAGTTGTGGGCGCGCTTGTGGGCGTGGCCGCTGGGGTGGGCAGAGACGCCCAGGGCGGCGGCGAGCAGGACGGAGGTGGTAGAGAACTTCATCTTGGCGGTGGTTGTGCTGTTTGAAGATGAAACGATGCTGGTCTATGTGTATATCCAAAGGAGTGGGCAATCGTCTTCGACTGTATGGTTTGGCACGAGGTCCGAGGCCGAATGAGCGGTTGGCGACTGAATGCGCGAGGGAGTGAGTGTCTTGGTTTATAGGGTCGCGAAAAGGAACGTGTTGGCAACGTCGCAAAGGAACGCTGGCAGTGGTCTTGTCTTAAGGAATGACTGAAGGCCTGATCGAGGACGGTGAGGAGGAGGAAGAGAGACAGGAAAGGGAGCGGGAGGGAGGTGGGTGTTAATAAGGCAGACGGGCCAGGGGAGACAAAGCACTGGAAGCACTCAACTGGAACACCGAGCAGGGGGAGGGGGGTGGCAGCACAGTGGAGGACACCTAGGGGGCCAATGGGCATCGGAGCAGCGTCCCTGCGAGAGCCCACCTCACCGTCCTGGTCCTGGGCAAGCGAGCAACGCCGTGCTTCCAGTCGTCAGTTCAGGGCAGTCCTCAGGGCTCTGTGCTGCCCTTAGCGGGTGGCAACCGCCTGCTGGCTCGTAAAACCCGCTCGTCTCCCCCCCCTAAAGCCCTCGCCCGGCGTCCCATGAAACAGGCCATGATCCCCTAAGAGGCCCGGCTAGGAGACCCCTGTCGCGATGGCAGAATCGGCGGCTCAGGAACCACCAGGTACCCGCGGCCTGTGATTGGCTGGGGGCGCGCGAAATGGGGTTGGGATCTCGCCGCGTCAGCCCACATGCAGCAACGCCAGTGTTGAACAGACTGGAGCGTTTGCAGAAAGTGGGCGTACAGAGGCGGAGAATAGAGGCAACTCGTTGAGCAAAATGTGTAACTTTTCTCTTATCTCTCTGTTAGAGTTTCAACGACGATGCAAACAGAGACCTCCCAAGGTCGAAGCTATTCGCGCACAAGAGAAGAAAAGAAAAATGCTCTGCATCCGTGTCTGTGGGCGATCCACGCGTGATCCACGCATGGGTTCGCGTGTTTGCTTACATACGCCATGTGCGTCCGTCCCTAAAGTGCCTTAGGTACCTGTAAGGTATTGGATGGAATCACTCGCACTCATCTCGAATGAAATAGGTAGCATGGATGGATCGATGGTCCAATTCACCATCAAACTCAATCAAAGCCACTCATTGAGCATCAAGGACGTTTGCATTCTGTCTCGAAAGGAAAAACCAACTTCTGCAGGCCGAGGCCAATGGCGGCGTCAAATCACCTCTGCCGCTGCATGACGCTGCTACTCTACCTCGTACTCGTGATGACTCCAGTCATTTACGGGCTCTCAATCCACCTCCTTGTCACCCAACCCCCTACAAGCCTCCCTACCAAGCCTCTTCCTAATACCCGTGAACATTTATTCTCTTCTCTCTTGTCCTCGCGCCAAGTCAAACTCTCGGCGCTTGTCCTACCTACCTACCTACCAACGGTCAACGGAGCTCTCAACATGAGACTCCAGTCTCTTTTTTTTTTCCCCGTTCTTCTCTCATTCGTTGCTTTTTCCTGTATTCCTTCTCCCACCGCTCAGCCCAATCTCGCAGCCCGCAAAACCAAGCCTTAAGCGACACGCCCACCGGTCGCCCAGGCGCCTTCTGGAATGATGAATCGATCGATACTCCCTCCCTCTCTCTCTCTCTTCTCTTTGTCTCCTCCCTTTCCCTTTCTCCCTCCCCCCCGGTAGCCAATATGCCTGCACCAGTAGTACTTAGCAGTAGTAATAGCTTAAACTCCGACCCCCGGTTGCAAAAGGGAAATGAGACACCCCTGTGCTTGTAATTTCGCTCCATGCGAAATCGAGCCCTTTCTGCATCGGGCTACCCGGAGAAAAAAGCCAAGTCCAACGGCTAAAAAAGAAGCAACATTAGAAAGCTGAAGGACACCCACCCTGACACCCCAGCTCTAGGCGGTAAAAGACGGCAGATTTGTCTCTCAACCTTGTCGTCTCTTCTAGTATACAGTACGACAGGCTTAGTCACATGCATTTCTTTTGCTGGCCAAGAGGCTGTCAATATGGCAGACAAGCTTCAAGCTTGCAAGCTTGGTCGTTCTCTCGCCTACCTACCTACGCACAGCAATCTCGCTCAACTCGGCTGTCGCACTGAATCTCGTGATCTCTCTACAGGGTCACTCAGTGTAGGTATTATGGAGTAAGTAGAGCTTTACGGAACACCCAGAAATCGGATCACACCTGTTTTGACTCGCGGCCTGCAAAAATAATCCGTGCACATCATGGCAAATCGATCCTGATGCACCGCATCATCGTCACATGTCGCCATCACCAAGCAAGCCAAGATCGGAGCAAAACCCACAAACAACTCCATTCCAATCATTCTCCCCCTCCCATCGCGTGACAAGTGCGCCATTCCCACGCATGCAACTTCCACCAGACGACAAAGTAGTGGCTTCTCCGCGCTTTTGAAACATCGGTATCGGATCATCGGAACATGTCGATCGCATAGCCAAAGCACCACCACCACCACCTGCAATATCCCCCAGTCTCCAGCTACTACTATTACTATTCTTATCTCATCCCTCCTCCTATGTATATCCTCTTCTATCTACCTGCTCATATCCTCCGTACACAGTGTCCCCAAACAGACCACAAACATAGTATTCTCATCTCCATGCTCAAACTCCGTCTCCGTAGAACCAGGCACACAGCCCCCCCTAAACAAGGAAATCCAGATCCCAAACCCACAAGCCCACATACCGCCTCTCCGGCCAGCCCCCCCCCCTTACATACATACCTACTCCTCTCCAGCCCCAGCCTCAGCCTCCCGATCCGCGTCAGCTCCTTCTCCTCTCTTCACCCCTTGTTTAACAACCCCCCTCCCCCTCTTTTCGGCACTTCTCCTACTGGGCCCAACATTCGACGACGAGCAGCATTCTCACATCTTGTGCTTTTTTTAGGCTTCTAGAAAAGAACCCCCCCTTATGGCCTTGTCTCCCAGTAATCTTGTAAGGGGTATCCTCGTGAAAATGGATACTATGTGACCGTGATCGTACAACTACCTATCCGAAATCAATGTTCCGAGTTCCGAGGAGAACCTGCCGGTGCATCCAGATGCATACAACCGTTGTGCACTGTTTCAGATGCTCATGCTCAATGCCACGTTCAGCTTCTGACTACCGGTGACGACTCTATATCCGTGACGAACGCAACATGCCAATGATTGTCGTATCATAGGCAACTGATTGCTGCCTTCCAAACCTTGATCATCATCAAGCCAGATGCGAGTCAATCACTCATTTGCCTCAGCGTGAAGCTACGCAAAAGCATCAATGCTGTTACTATAAAATTGACGAGGCTGATAGAGTCATAAAAAGTGGCATATAGGGTAGCTGTTATGCCCATTATAGACCTACCGCTGCATCCTGTAGAAGTCATATCAAGTCCTAGCCAAGATGACAACCTTCTTTCCCTCAGGCATAGAATACGAATGGACGGAGGCCGCATCCTCATCCTAGGTCAGCCCCCGCCATAACAAGGGAGAATCAATGGACCGGACACTATGAGCACTTGAAGGTCCCCGTCTATGCTCTCTAGGCATCTCCAATAATTGTCGCAACACTGTCAACGGCATCACCTCCCCCTTCTCGCATGCCCAATCCAGAGCCAGCTGCACCACGTTCCGAAGCTCGCGATAATTCAAGTCACTTTCCCCCAGCCGATGCATGCCAACATCGGTCAGTGGAGCCATATGCACTTGGCCACGCTCCAGCGCCCGCGCAAGGCACTTTCGAACCAGATTCATTCTGCCATGCCTGGTGGGAAACGTATACCTCAAAGAGAGGTTGAAGCGCAATCTGGGCATCCCTTCCTGCGCCTTGAAGGAACCACAGGTTAGCTACATGTACCCGAAGATCGCAAGGAACTGCAATCACCTTGATTTGTGGCAACGCTCCTTCGCCCCAATTGACGTGACCGCCCTTGCTGGTGAAGAAGATCACTCCGTGTCCTCGGGGCCTCGTGAGATGCTGTAGAACGATAGACGGCCACTGCTTCTGTTGCGCTGCTAAAACCAACTGACTCCAGAGGAAGGGAAGGTCGTCCACGAGCAGAATGGCACCCCAGCGGTGGCAGACCTCTAGCATCTTCTGATCGATCACTGCTGCGCTGATTATCTCTGGTGCTACCATAAAGGTGTCGACCGATATTTTCATCAGGGGAACCTGCAGGTGGTCGCAAAGTGCTTCCACCGTCAGCGTCTTGCCCGTGTCCGAAGGCCCATGGAGCAGGACTGGTGGAACTTGACGTTAACGGTCTTGCATCTTGCCAATCATACGCAGGAGGCAGATTGTGAGCTGGTGCACTTACTGTTGAATGCTCCTCTCCCACCTGGTCCAGTGCCGCCGAGCTTAGGAGCCGACATGGAGACGTGAGGAGTCACAGACATGCGCATCAGCTCCTTCGCATGCTCCTCAAGCATCAAATACTCCCATGCTTGGCCATCCCACTTGACATCACCAATGCCGTCCACAGGAAACTCGAACCAGCTCTAATGAGCCAGGGAGTATCCGGCGATGGTGGGATGGAATATCATTGACAGCGTGTTCTTTGCCTCCTTAAGCCGTTCCCGAGTTCTTCTTTGGCACTTGTCACAGATTTTTTTATTACCTGTGCTAGTTTTACGTATGCTGTTTGCACCTTGCACATTATGCTCGCTGTGTTTGCCAAGTGCGCCGCCTGTGCTTCGTTCACTGTCGTCAGCGACCTCGCTTGTCAGCAGATCTAAGAGAAAAAACGAGGGGATATGCCATTGATGAGGAAGCCGGTGGCGTCTGGGTCTTCATGTGCATGCACCCCCTTGGCCACGGCGCGGGCCCCATGGAGTAGACATAGACTTCTCAATGTTTCACCATCGATCACAATCTTGTCCTCTTGTAGATCGAGCTTGCCATCGAAAAACTTCCTGTAGGCTACGCCAGTAAACATTTTGAGGTTTGCTCCTCGTCTTCGCAGTGGAAGTAACTTCCTGCCTCGTTCGATAAGCTGGGAACTCAGCTGCTCTTTGTGCTCGTGGTACTTGAAAGGATAGCACAAAAGGCTGGAAATCTTGGCCATGCCATTGAAAAGCTCAATCTTTGTCTCAACGCTACCGAATGCGAGCTCATTTCCGTCGAAGTAGACCGTGTTGCTTCGTACATGGAAGAACGGTGGTTCGTGCTGTCCAGTCTCTTCCTTTGGGGCTTTGTATCCTGCGTAAG